ACATTTGTTGGCCCGGGCCAAGCAATCAGCTTTCGGATGCTACTGAGCACAAGCTAGACTACGTCACAAGAGCATCGGCGCGTGCTGGCATGGCGAAGGAGGGTGCCGAACAAGACGCACCCGCACGTCCCTTTAGGATTAGGCTCCAACGTGATGGAACTGCAGACATCGAAGATGTGAAAGAAGACCTGGGAGAAGCGCCAGAAAGAATAATCTCGATTGCAGACGAATGCCAGCTTGAGACAACTGCTCGTGTTCATTCTGTCGGCCAGCGATTCTGGAACATCCGCATGTGCAGAGTTCCGAAGCTTCACTGGCCGTCAAATGTCCTGGTCATGCTTTCGGCCTCTTCCTATGGCCTCTCTGCCTACATGAAGACTTCTCTCAAAATCTGCGAGGTCTGTTTAAGAACACCTCGTGTTGTTTGCAGGGTGACATGCTACAGTGACGGGTCCGAGGGACACTAGCCTCGATAGACGAGCTCAGAAGGGCCGAGATCAGAGAACATCGGAGCCATCACCAAATCGGACACGAAGCAAGGAGGCCAGGATCGGAAAACGAGCATGATGTTCACCACCAAGCCCGCTGCTCCCAACATCCATGCCTTTAAACACCATATTTCACCCAAGCCAAGAACAAAAAGGCCGTGGTGAAACCCAGTGGTTGCTTCAGACGGCTTCCGTAGGCGTGGTACTTCTCAGGACTGTTGAGACTTGGAAGAGGTACCCGAGCAAAAGACGAGACAAAGAAATGTTCGGAGAAACTGGGACAGCGGGAACGCTGTAATGTTTCCACACAGGATCAGTTCACAAGCAGTATGCGGTCACGAGTGCATGCTTGCGACCTCACGGTGGTTTGGACAGGCGTTGGCTTTCAGTCGCGGTTGCTTCTCGAGCGAGTTTTAGTGCAGTACCTTCTGCTAGTTTTGCAGCCATGACGCCGCTGGCCTTGGTCCTGGCTTTGGCTTGGCTGTGTGAGGCATGCATTCAGTTCCTCATGCGTATTTGTCGCATTTTTTTTGAATTTCGCAGTTGCTTTACCCAACTATTTTGGCAGCAACCAGCGCCCCAAAGCCGAGCTTTTTTTGTACACACCTTTGGAGCCAGTCGGGAGGCCTGGGATTTGAATCTAGGTTCGGAGAACAGAATTAGTTTGCTGTAGAGGTGCCGAAAATGACGCAGGATGGACGACGAGGAGCTCAGTTCAGAAATAGTGAAGAGACGGATATGGCGGAGATGGGACTCGACGAATTCGAACGGAATATCTTTCTGCCGGCTTTATGGCAGACCTAGCTGACTTATGCTAGCAGCAATGATAATCATGATGCAAACTTGCACACCACGGTGTTGTGGGGCGACCGGCGAGTGGCTCGTCATCGTGCTCAGGCAGACCCTTCATTCGGGGAGACCTGTCGGTTGCGGAGGAATAAACGAATACCGTTGGAAGTTGGGGGAAAATACAAAAATGCAACACCTAAGCACTGCACTTGTGCATATCCATCACCTGGCACCGAAACACATAAGTTCGTGCTTTACCCCTCGAGAGCATACAATTGACCAGCTTGATGGTGAAATGGGCAATCGTGATGCCGATGAGCGGGCCGTCGAAGACTGATGCTACAAGCAGCGCCTGCGCTGCCGCGCTGGGACTGGCTATCATTCTTTCGACATGAGTGCAAAGCCATGCAAATCTAAGGTTCAAGTCTGGTTTCCACCATGATCAAGGGGTGAACGGCCCCAGCGAGACGTCTTGGTGCATCTTGGTGCAGATTCTGTGCGTGCGCAAAGTTGATGCAGTACGACTATCTGTCCCGCTCAATAGAGCAGCTTGTAAATCAGTCGCAAGTGCGAAGATGGGCTAGCACGGTGCAGGACCGCGTAACACAAGATGCATCCGAATCGCCGTTGTGACCGTAACTGCACGACTTCAAAGGAAGAGAAAAGGGAATCGGACCCGCGGCTGGCGACTCAAACCCAGTTCGGTCTTAGGCTGGGGGAGTCTTCGGTGCAGTGGCCCATGCGTGGCTTCTCAGCGCAATGCCTTCAGCAATGATTTATGAATGGCTGATCATTGTGGCTTTTTTCATAAGGTTTCCAAAGTAATTAATTACTCTGGCAACGTGTACACAGAGTTCTGTTACGACCGGGCAGGAGCTTAACGACCACCCGAGTCCTTTCGCACCCTGTGCCTGATACTCAAGAGCCGGCACCGCGCTGGAGTTCTCCAGGCCAATGATGCCAGACTCGCGAAGTTAGTGACTTCATTCGGTACATCGCCCATGGCGGCACATTTTAGTGGAATCGCTTCTAAGTCAGACAGGGTTACAGCCTTCAGCTCGATCTTACCCTCCATGCCAAGGGTTCGGCTAAAACTCTTTGGCCTAGACATCTTCTTCGGTGTAAACAGGGATGACTTGACACGTTCTTGCGATCATGCCGCAGCTTAGTGTAAAGCATGGGAAGCTAAGTACTCAACAACAGCCATGCAGAAGCCTCACAGTCTTTGCAGCACCCTTCCCACATGCAGTGGGGGTAAGACAAATGCTCTGGTTCCCGACAAGCATCTTGCGTGCTGAACAGTCACAATGCGTTTCTGCGACCGACCCAACAGTTGCAACTCCAAGCCTACGTTCTGAGTTGGCCTTGGCTTCACAGCTCACGTCGTTGCCTTTGCATCGGCGGGTTCGTAGAGAAGATCCACGCTTCTGCAATGCAGTATCGTACAAAGACGCTGTGCCGACGCCGGGTGCGGCAGAGACACAGGTCTGCAAGTCAGGGCGGAAACAACATTGCATGAACTATCATCCACTCTGAAACTTGACTAACACTGCATCAGTGAACGAGCAACACAGAGGGAATGCACCGAGTCACGTACTTGCAGAAGCCTGTGGCGCTCGCAGCTCCAGTCAGCGCTGCCCATGGACGAGCGCCTACGATGGAGTCTGGCGAGCCGAGTGCTAGGCGGGCGACAGCTCTTGTGGGTTCGGAGCAGTCCCTGCTTTTTGCAAGCGTCCGCTGCATCTTCCGGTATGAACATATATATATATATATATACAGATATAGGTGGCTGAATACATGGAATGAATGAAGGAAAGCAAGAACGAATAAATGAATGAAAGAGGCAATGAACGTCATGAAATGAAATGACATGGAATGGAATGGAATGGATGGACGAGAGGAAGGAATGACATGATATGAGGAATGGAATAAAATGAAACGAGATGAAAAAGAAAGAAAGAATGCACAATGAATGCATGCATGAATGGTTGAAGGCATAAATGCATGAACTTAACGGAATGAGATGAAACAAGTGAATGGAATGGCATGGAATGAATGAATGGCTGCAGTGAAAGGACTGACTGACTGCATGAATGAATGAATGAATGCATGAATGAATGGAAGAAACTAGGAACGTAATGAAATGAAATACACATGGAATGGAATGGAATGGATGGAAGGGCATGCGTGCATGCATGAAAGAAAGAAAGAATAGAAGAAAGAAATAAACTATGAACGTAATGAAGTGAAACAAAAATGGAATGGAATGGAATGGGTGGAAAGGCATGCATGCATGAATATCTTGCGTATGATTGCCAATGCCGTCGCGAGACGCCACAGCTGAGCATCGCTTTTGAGGACATCTGTGTGCTGTCCTTCCTGCTTGGCAGCGGCGGTAATCGGTTTGCTTAGTGCAAGCGGAGGCCAGAGAAAAAGAGTGGTGCGAAGTGTGCGAGCAGCAACAGGCCAAAGATGGGAGGGAGCGGTTGAATGATAGGATGAATCAATAAATGAACGGAACAAGGAATGGGTAAGTGAACACGCACAAGAACGAAAGGACGGACGGACGGACGGAGGGATGGATGGAACGAATGAATGAATGACTGACTGACTGAATGAATGACTGACTGACTGACTGACTGAATGAATGACTGAATGACTGAATGACTGACTGACTGACTGACTGACCGACTGACTGAATGAATGAATTAGCGAACGGATGGATGGATGGATGGGATGGGATGGGATGCAACGGAACGGAATGGAATAGAATTGAATCGAATTGAAGGGAATGGAATGGAATGGAATGGAATGAAATGAACGAAAGAAAGAATGAATGACAAAAATGAATGAACGACTGCATGAATGACTGCCTGACTGACTGACTGACTGAATGAACCAATGAATGACTGAATGAACGACTGAATGCCTGAATGATGGAATGACTGAATGAATGCATAACTGAGTGAATGAGTGATGGGATGGGATGGAATGGAATGGGATGGGATGGGATGGGATGGAATGAATGAACGAATGAATGAACGAATGAATGAATGACTGGATGGATGGATGGGATGGGATGGGATGGAATGGAATGGAACGCAAGGGAAGGGAAGGGAAGGGAATGGAAGGGAAGGGAAGGGAAGGGAATGAAATGAAGTGAAATGAAATGAACGAATGCATGAATGAATGAACGAATGGAGGAAGGAAGGAAGGAAGGAATGGAGGGAGGAAGGAAGGAAGGATGGATGGATGGAAGGCAGGAAGGCAGGCAGGCAGGCAGGCAGGAATGAACGAAGGAAGGATGGAAAGAAGGAAGGAAGGAGCAAAGGAGGGAATAAATGAATGAATGGAACAATGAATGAGAGAATGCACGAACGAACGAACTAATGCACGACTGAATGAAAGAAAACGAACGAATGCACAAACCAATGAATGAATGAATGGACGGATGGATGGATGGAGGATGGAGGAAGGAAGGAAGGAAGGAAGGAACGACCGACGGAACGAACGAACCGAATGACTGAATGAAAGTTTAAACAATTACAGCAATACACGAATAAACAAGCAGACAAACAAACAAACAGTCCATCACATAACGACATGCATGAATGGATAAGTATTTGTTTGAATCGAAACACCAAAATGAAGAACTCTCTATGATCTTCCGATATTGGGATTTGCATTGCTTGCACTCTAGGAAAATTGTGTATACATGGCGGATCTCAGCTCCGCTCTTCGTCGGTTGACGGTCAGACACAGACAGGGCAAGCCTTGGCGACGCTTGAACTGAGCTGATAAAGGCTGATAAAGCCTTGTGCGGCAGAGTCTCCTAAAACTGGCGAGCAAGCTTCTCACGACAGCAAACGTGCCGGGCTAGTGGAGTCCTCACGGCCGTTCGGATCTAAGGGTCTGGAAAGTGCCTCGGGGAGAGAACTAGGACATAGGCTCTGAGAGCTTCAGGGTTTTGTAGATCGCGACTCGTGCTTGGGTTCTGGCAGGCGTCCTGCCATGCCTGGACCGCCCGCAAAGCGGATGGGTGCTGAGCTGCCGCATGGGACGTATCACAAGCTGGCCCTCGCGCAACGTGCCTGTGATGTAACCTGAGGCGACGGAAGCAGCGGCAGAATGCGGGCCCCCCAGATGCACGGGCCTTCCCTTTCTGGATTCATGACGTGTTCTCCCGTGAAATGCAGGACAGTAGGACACTGCGTCGTAGTTGGACAGTATCGTGGTCAAGCTTGCGACATCGAGGCTGGTCGACAAGTGCTCGCAAGAAAAGAGGTCCGCCCAGCCAAGGGACAGACCGAAACCAGTGCAGACAGGTTAGGTGCAGCACTTGGAAGACAGTCGAGAGCTGCGAGCAAACGGAATTGGCCTATGCGTGGGTTCGTGTTGATCTTGTCATAAATTCATCATCAGCCGCATTAGCCAAGGTTTATCTCAGGCAGGTCAGAAAGGGATGACACAAGGCTTTTTCTAGAGATACTCGCCGCTACACAGGAGGTGATGCAATGACAAAACAAGCCTTACGATAAATCGCAGCACCCACACGACACAACGCATGCTGAAGCTGGTAAAGCTTTGATCCACGATTGCCTGCGCATTGCAGCTGACGAAACCATTTGCCGCAGCAACGGCAACGGTGAGAACAGCAGTTCGCGGCCCGTGCCAGGATGGCAATGAACCCCTCATGGTGGCTGCGTTCTCGATTTTTGCAGTTACAGGTTGCAGTCTCCATTCAGTCAGGCTGCAGAGGTGCCTTAGGTCCTCAATCCTGCACGCCTATGAATGAACCATTCCATGCCGTATTGCCCATGATGCTGCAGATCCAAGGCTGTTAAGCAAGAGAATCCGGAGTTTGACAGGCCAGAAGCTTGGCGGTCGCTTTTTTTTGCGAGACGTGCGGATGCTCCCAGGATCAGTTTGTGTTTTTCCTATACGTTTGCAGGTCCTCTTCTGCCGAGGAAGCTGCAGAGGAGCGCCCGAGGGGATGCGGTAGCATTCGCAACTGTTAGTGGATGACTGCCGCAGGGGATAATTATGCACCCAGAGATTTTCGACCCACAAACCTCCCGTTTCGTGGTGACTTGGTGTCTTTTCCTGCCTCCTTGTTTGCATGCGTGTTGCGTCGAGTCAGGAGTCTGGGCAGCCAGATCATGAGGCCTGGTGGCTACTTGTGCCACTAGCCGCTAGCATATGAAGACCTCGTTTACCATGTCACAACCTATTTCCCTCTCAGATCTCTATTTCTGTCTGTCTAGTGTGTGCCACGAGTTACATGAGCGGAATTCAAGACACTATAGGGTTGCTCACAATCTTGGATGCCTGGGTTGTGCTAGGCTGTTGTCGTGCGTGGTGAGCATGCTGGCACGCACAATTTAGCTCGACATTTACTGTGGGCACTTGAAGCTGGCAGCTTTTTTGCTTAAGATGACCGCTGTAGATTATCATGGAGGTAGCCCCGATCCATGATGCTGACCCTGGTTCCTGGAGGGGTTAGTTATTGTTTTTTGTTTTTGCTTTGGCCTGTGGGGCGTGAGTTGGGTGGGGTGCAGGGGGGTGCGGGGGAAGTGGGCTTCGAAGCAATATACAGATGGAAGCAACATACTGCATTGACATGACTTAGGTTAGACTTGATGCGATCTCTCATACAAGCACTGTGCTATTTCCATCTTGTATTGATATTTCTTCAGTATGATATGTGTAGTGAGGAAAAACAAGCTCTTACATCAATAGCAAATTCCAGTTCTGATAATACCGCAAAATATGTGGCAAGTCAGTCAAATGCTAAAAAAGACAGACTCGTACTGCTATATGATTATATGAATACTGTAGTATCAAAAAGATGCAGAACTTGGCTAATATGTTGTAAAACAGCTCCTCTTACTTAGAGTTATTATTTTACATTAACAATGTCAATATTTGTTTCTATTCTGCCATGGTACAGAATAGTACATCATACCAGCCTCACCGCATATCATATACACCATACCATGTTGTATTCTATTCTGTTTGGTAATACTATGTTATAATACAGTGTTACATGAGATTATTGAAATATAGTGTGTATATATACAAGCACGAACAAGTACGTACATATATGTATATATACATACTACAGGAAAACTATATTGTGTTGTATTATGTTCATTATTGTTTCAAACAGGTTTTCAATATTTTTTACCAAAATTTCATATCATAGTACTGAGCCATAATATATATGATAGTAAAATTGTTATATCATATCATCTTATACCAGATTGCCTGTACACTATATAGTACTTTCTCTGTGAACAGTCCTCGATGCCTCGTACAATTCGTTGGTGTCACGTCATGATTGGTAAGTAGAGCTATGAGAGGCAACGTAATTGGGCCGATTTTCGGACTGTTTACAGTTGCAATAGTACAGCTTATCTGCATTGCAGAATGCTGCAGTAAAGTTGTTTCTACAGCGTGCACGGCCAACTTCGTCCAAGCTCGACATTCTGCTAGCAAGCTATTGTCATTCACGGTCTTAGTGCATTCGAGCCATCCTCTTGCACGGACAGAGATTGTCCGAAGCTGGCGCCAAAAACAAGAGTGCGCCAGCGTGTGTGTGTCAGGGACAGGTAGCAGGGCTGCAACTACGTCGTGGACTACAATTAAGTCGGCGAACCACCACTACCATCAAGCTCTTATAAACGAATATACCCCAACATCATGTAGTGTTAGTGCATGTAGTAAGCTGTAATCTACTAAGGAATGTTGTCTCACCGGGTATGCATTTCAATAGATCATGATAAAACATGGCAGAATAGAAACAAATATGACATGATATGATATAACCAAGATAACATAACGTGTTATAATCAAAAGGAATAAAATACAACATCATATGCTGTATATATGATGCTGTAGGTTGTTATGGCGTAATATACTATGCTGTACCAGAGCAGAATAGAAGCAAATATTATCATTCTCAATGTAAAGTAATGACCGTAAGTAAGAGCAGTTGTCTGTTGAGATATGAGCCAAGTTCTGCATATTTTTGATATCGTATTCTTATAATCATACAGCAGTACGAGTCTTTCTTTTTTAGCATTTGACTGACTTACCACATATTTTGCGGTATTATCAGAACTGGAATTTGCTATTGATGTAAGAGCTTGTTTTTCCTCACTACACATATCATACTGAAGATATATCAATACAAGATAGAAATAGCACAGTGCTTGTATGAGAGATCGCATCAAGTCTAACCTAATTCATGTCAATACAGTATGTTGCTTCCATCTGTATATTGCTTCGACGCGCGCTTGTACTTTAAGACTTGGGCCTCGACCCCCCCCCCCTCCCCCACACCTCACGAGCTCGCTGCCCGCAGTCCCCGCGCCCCGCTGCACCCCACCCAACTCACCGCCCGCAGGCAACAAAAACAAAAAACAACAAAAGCGGGGCGTGGCATGGCCGATGGCCCTAGTTCGCATCGAGGAGCTTGAGCAGCCAGCGACATGAACGTCAAACGTATGAGTGGTTCAAAGCCGCCACAATGGCCGTATCGGATGGCTACCTGCAATGGTGGTGGGATGAAAGAGATGGTGCTGCGCAGCAGAGCTATTTGCTGCAGGGGATGGGAGGTGCAGTTCCACTTGGAGTCCCTTCGCAGCATCCTGCTGAAAGAGCCGGGCAGCAGTAAAGCAGCCTCCTTGGATGCAGCAGCCTGCAGCGGTGGCGGACCTGAAGTGGGGGCTGGACACCTCGGGCCAGGATCCAACCCTTATTCTGATTGCGGCTGAGAATGGGGAGGAGGCCTGGCTCAGGGCGGGCCTTGCCGCAGAGAGCTCCAGACCCCGTTGGCCGAAAAAAGCCAATGCTTTGGAGGAGCCTGCAGTGTTTGTCCGGACATCGGCTCCAGTGGCCGTTCCCCTCGCACCAAAGCACGGTTAAGAAGAAAAAGGAGAAGAAGAAGCAGGGCAGGTCCCGGGAGGCCCGACACAAGTGCAACCGTGGATCGGATTCGTCCTTTCGCGAAGCCTCCACGTCCCGTGATCGGCAGTTGTAGCGTTGGAGCATGCCGAGAAGTTCCCGGAGCTGTCGGCTCGCCTTCTGCAGAATGGCGATAGACCGTGTAGCGTGGAGTGACCCGGCCCCACCCAGCTACCTCCTCACGATTTTAGCGCCCGAGTTCAAGACGAAGATGGGATATGGCAGCTGCGGGAGCTAAAGATTCTCTGCCGTGCGCCGGAGTTAGTCGTGCACGGGGAGCCACAAACGTCCTTGCCAACAGGATAAAGGCCATCGAGGCCGCTCAGCTGGTTACAAGCTCAGATCGTGGAGCTAGCCCCCAGTCAGAAAGGGAAACCCTTGTTGGAGACGAACGCAGCAGTCCTGCCTCGCCATATTGCCCTCGCGTCAGGGGTGGGGTGGCAGGGCACAAACCTGGGGCTTTCTCTTCTGCAAATGGCGCAGCAGAAAGAAAGGCGAAGGCAAGAAGGGCGAGAAGGAAAAGAAAGGGAAGAAGTGAAAGGAGAGCCGGAGCCCACCGAAGTACAATCGGGTCCTCAAGTCCTTGACGGACATGGATTTGGATCTCACGGACCGTACGTACCCTGCGTCGGCAAGCGTGGAGTTGGTCGCTGGCCCCTTTGGCTCAGGAGATGCTTCGGAAGCAGGGATACATGAAATTGATGCTGGGCGATGCCACTACCGTGGCACCAAGGTTGGCCTCATGGCTCCCTCAGACCTGATGGCTTTTGCGTTACCCAGCATACCTGTGGCGGTGGCGCAACAAGCTTAGCAGAACCAAGGCAGCGCCTCCACGTTGGAGATGTTCGCCGCCCTTGCGGAGTTCCGATGCCGTGCACGGCAGGATGGAACACAATGACCAAATTATTTCACATCCTGGATTTCCGAGTGGTTTATCACGTGGTGGCGAAAGGAAGGGCAAGCAGCAAGATGGCGGTTCTCTTCTGTGGGCAGCTTCAGCATTTGGTCCTTTAGACTTTAGACCATGTCGGCGTGGAACTACGCCGATGCTGCCTCGTTGGGTTTTGCTCCCAACCACGGCCCCTGAACCCAAAATTTCATCTGAGGCTTCAGGGGTTGAACCTCAAATCCCGCGTCTCTTATCTTCGAGCCTTGCTGCGCTTCTTTGCCTTCTTGGAAAGGGAGCACCATGGCTGCCCACCTCTGGTTCTGAGCTTGACGGCCACAAACTGGAGAAAAACTGTACAAGCCAGTCCGTGCCACGCCGTTGTGTTTGCAAGGTCTGTTTCGAGACATTGGTCGGAATTCGGTACTTCGAAGCACTGTCGATTCTGCGGGCTAGAGGCTGTAGCTCAAGCAATTTTAGGGGCTCAAAAGTGTTTGCAAACGCAGTCTAGGTCCGGAGCCTGCCGGCTCGCCGCCTAACAGTTCCGGCTCGCTTCTTAACAGCTTCGCAGCGTGCCGGCCAACAGTCACTGGCCGGGCTCCTGGTCGCTCTCGAATCCACTCGCGCCCCGTTTTGCAAGCACTTTGGAGCCCCTCAGATTGTGCGCCCTAAGGCTTCTAGGCTCTAGAATCTGTGGACCCTCAAAGTAGGGCATCTCTCGAAACAAGCCTCGTAGCCACTATAGAGAGGGACTTGTTGAAGCGATGGCTGGCGCAGTCCTTTTCTGTTGCCTCCTGAACAAAGGGAGTAGCTCTTTGCATGAAAGCCAGGTATTCGGCTGCAATCGGTGCGGATAGATCAGCCAGACATCCTGAGGATCGTCACCATAGTCTTTCGGGGCCTCCAACCTTTTGAGAGACTGTGGCCCTCCTCTGGACAGACTTTGCGCATGCGCTTTCGCCAACTTTGTTGCGCCCTGAAGCTGCCTTGTGGCGGGTCCGGAACGACCCCAGGGCTGGAACTAGCGTCGCTCCGCGCAGGCGGAGCCACTTGGATACTCATGGCAAATGAAGATTCTGAACTGGTGCGGCGACGAGGCCGTTGGCTAACAGCGAAGATCATGGAGATTTATATCCAGGAGGTCTCGTCGATCCAGTTTCTCCCGTCCTTTAAAGGCCGAGTCCAAGTCTCTCGTCCAGGCAGCCTTGAAGGCCTGCAGTGACGTAGTGCGTAAAGTCGACTTGTACTACACCACGGGCATTTCGCCCCAAACGTGGTACAAACTTTTGCAGCGAGGATGCTCGCGACGACGGTGGTGGGTGGAACGGGTGGAGCTGCAGAAAACAATGCCGAAAAGCAGCATCAGCTACTGTGACACCTGCCTGCCGGTGTAGAAAAAGACGATGTGAGCACGAGTCCTTGTTCTTTTAAAGACGAGTGCGGATACATCGCCGCTCAAGCATCCCCCCGCTCCCTCCCCAACTCGCTGCAGAAAACAATGCCGAAAAACGGCATCAGCTACTGTGACACCTGCCTGCCGGTGCAGAAAAAGACGATGTGAGCACGAGTCCTTAAGCTGTGGGCGAAGTACGGGGTGCTGATCACGAACGCTCCTTCTGTCAAAATGATCGCATCCGGAGTGAGTGCACTGGGCCGTTGTCGTGCGTGGTGAGCATGCTGACACGTACCTGGTTCGACATTCACTTTGGATGCTTGATGCGCGCAGGCTTTGTGCTTCCCGCCCCGTGCACAAGGGTCTTTTTGCTTGATCATTATCAAAACGTACTCCAAAACGTAGAGGAGCTGCTGCCGAGAAGAGGATGGTGACATTTTTCAAGAATGAAATCAGGGAGCTTCGGTGTTGTGTATGGATTTCGTTTTTTTTAGAAGGCTGACATGTTGGATTCTGGAAAACGCGCTTCTTAACAGCATTTTTATATTGCGAGACATGAGGAAGGAACCGAAGGCTGCAAGACAAGAGCTTCAACATACTTCGCGATATTTAAGTCTAAGAAAATCTTCGTGAGAATCCCGAGATCTTTAAATTCCCGATGTGAGGCCTTCTAAGTCCCTGTTAAAGAAACAAGGCTTGAATTATGGACATCCCGAACATCATCGTTACACTTCCCTTCCGCCTTAATTTCTGAAGCATCTCAAAATTCTTTGAGCTTCTCAACTGTTGATGAAATTGAAGCTGTTGACGAGTTTACCGCATTGGTCACAACTAAAAAGAGTGTGATATCCTCAACCTTTTGACATGTAAACAAGAAACCTTTTCCCTGCATCTGTCATTTGTTGGCAATGTTGAAAATTCAATTGATCTACATTGAAGTCCAACAGTTGCTACATGAGAGGCTGACACCAGCTTCTCCCGACCTTCCTTAGTTCAAGACTCTTCCTCAGGTTGCAAGAAAAAGTTGATGTCCTTGAGGTTCAACTGCATCTTTTGTGTCTTGTCAACCCCTGAAAATCAAGCGACAGGCTGCATACGCTACAACCTTCGACCAAAAACTATACAACAAAATGCAGGACGATGTGTTGAGCTCTGATGTTTTATGTTATCACGTGCTATTGATTTGGTGTTGCTTTCAGCTGTTAACCCTGCTTCTTGAAGGTCGTCTCGGCCCGATTCGAGGCCGAGAAGCGCTGCCGTGAGGAGCTGCAAAAACGGCTGAAGGCCCACTGCTTCCAAGGAAAGGAGGGTTGAGGCTTCAGACGGGTTCTGGAGTCAGGGCGCACTTCTGGGAACGCCCTTTTCTTGCGGCGAAGGGACAGAAGCCGAGTTAAGAGCTACGCATGGAGACGGCCTGCTGACCCTAATTCGGTGTGTGTCGGCTGGGGCTGTTTTCGGCTGGTGTCCTTGTGCAGTGATAGCAGAATTTTTGGCATTTGTGAGGTTGGGGATTCAGGGTGAGGCTTCCAGTCCAGGAAGGAGATATGGAGACTTTGCGATTTCGTGCTTGGGGCTCAAGGGGTTGGGCTAAAGCCTCTGCAGCGCCATGGTCAGGCAGAGGAAGAGGAGCTCAGACGGCGACAAATCAATCCACCCGAAAGGCATCCGGGATGGTCGCGCAGTCTGGGCCGAAAACCGTATCGATACGATTCCTTGCAGATACGGTAGTTGCAACATCCGACTTTGTCGGAATTCGACTTCGTTACTGTTACTGTTCTCACTACCTGGCCTAGGCCATGCTACTCGCTGCAATTACGAAGGTCGAGCTTCGCCAAGCAGCCACTCTTAGACTGGAGAGGCGTTTCTGCTTCTTCACCGATTTTTTCAGTATCACTACCCCGCTTTGGGAGATACTTGCATAGCCCATCTCAAACTATGACTCCGCCGCGCATCTGTCAGAGGACCCCAGTGGTGGTGCCTGCTCGGATCCAGGCCGTCGTGGTTTCCAGAAGGTTCAATCGGGTCTCCTAGTGTTGTGCAACATGGTAGCTTGGGGTTGTCGGGAAGATGTGCTGTCTTCTCCAAAAAAAATTCATCACCGAACTTTAGGATTGGACAGATTGGATTCGGGCAACGTAGCGGCAACCGTTCTTGTATCAATATTTTATGCGGCACATTGAAGCGGCCACCAGGACCAGCCCCAAGCCCGGACGATAGGAACCTCCACGTTTACGGTGGACCCACTGGATTCCTGCAGCTCTGCGGATTCTGCGGCATCGCTGCGTCCCAGGTGCCCTCGCTGCTCAGTGAAGTGGAGCGCCGGGCCCGTGCCGAACTCCAGGCGAGGCTCAAGGCCCGTCTGCTGTTCGGAGCCAAACCGTACCTGCGAAAAGGAGTCGTTCGCCTCTTCAGGGGTTGTGGAGCTTTTCACTGAGCCTGCGCTTTGAGCATCTTTCTGCCTTTTCGAGGAAGAGGAGCGCCTTATTCAAGAAGAGAGGCTTGGCCTCCCACTCTCTTGTGGCGCCAAGGGGGCGGATTGCGATTGTCGGTTGTAAAACATTATGTTTTGTACTGTGGCTGATTCCGCCTTGAGAGTGATGCCCTGCAAACCAGCCTCGAATTGGCACGCATCTGGTCATGTCAGCTTGGTCTGTTTTGACGGCTGTTCTCGGCTGGTTTAGTCAGCCTTGGCTTCAGGCTTTTGCGACGTCGCTCTTAGATTGTTGAAGTTCTGTTGCAGGTCCGAAGGACGCTGACGGCTAAATGTGGCTCTCGCTCTAGCCCTTACTAGAAACTTATGGGCCCCCAGAGTGACTCGGCCTATGTGCCCAAGCCAAGCTTATGCCCACAATCCCCTCCCCAATTACCCAAGCTTCCAGTCATACCCCACCACTCAGTCATCAGTCCCGGACCCTGCCCCAGCAGTGTGGTTGTTTGTGGTCCTTCAGCTGCAGCGAGCGCAGCTGCGAGGATCTGTTCTGGCACCGGCCCCCGCCCCTAGTTCGAACCCTTCTCCGAGCCAGGGCCAAAGCCCAGCTTCAAGCGAGGCTGCAGGCTTCCGGCAGTGGGACTTCCGGGCTTTGCTGGCCGATGTTGGCAAGCACGCTTGCAGACGCTTGCAGAAGACAGAACTTCCATGGCCCCCGCTTGGAAGTGTGCCCTGAGCAGCTGCAGGCAGAAGCTGCGCAGGCACAGGCCAAGGCTATGGCAGAGGCACAGAAGGCTCGCTTGCGAGTCTACGTGAACTTTCTAAAACTTAAGAGCTCAGCAGGATGTGACGTCTGGGCACAGGTTTCAGCAGCCTGTCATGCAAGTCTGCCGAATAGAATAGAAAGTCTTCTCCGACGTACGGTTTTCTTCGTGAATAGGATGCACAACGTGTACGAGGAGTGCTTTGTTCCGATTCGCTTCTGATGGTTTGTTTCTGCGCCTGCAGTCTGACGGATGGTTGAGTGTTTGAGTTCAATAGACACACTGCACGTATGGAGTCCAATGCGCGTCAAAATTGGCGATATGCATGAGGGAGGAGCTTACAGTTACATGCATCTTCACTTATCTCCAAAGGTCCCGTGGCGACTTTTAGCGCAAACCCTAAACCCTTAAAGTTCAGCCCTGTAAAACCCTGAACGAGGCGCAGGTGGAGGCCGCAAAGGCTCGTGCCAAGGCGGAGGCTGAGGCCCAAGCCCGTGCGCGGGCAGAGGAGGCCCAGCAGAAGGCCCGTGTCCTGTGCGAGCAGTAGCAGGCGCTGAGGAGTCTAGAACAACAGGCGCGCAAGAGTTGGGGGGGGAGCAGAAGCTGGAGTGGGAGCGGGAGGGGGAGCGGGAGCAGGAGCAGTAGCAGCAGTGCAGCCGCACTCACCGTCGCCACCGCCGCACGAGGATGAGGAGGAGGAGGAGGAGTTTGGTAGTTTAGTCTTGTTAGCATGAGTATGTGTATTCGTATTAATCTTGGTCTCGTCTTAGTGTTAGTCTTAGCCTTAGTATTCTTACTCGTTGTCGTGTTTGTATTCATACTCGTACTCGTATTCACACCAGTATTTGCATTATGATTACTAGTATTACCGAAAGCGTCGGCGTCGGGTTCTTGGTTGGAGGGCTCGTCGGTTGGTATAGATGCATCTAGGTTATTTATGCGACTCAGTACTGTTCTACTTAGGTTTATTTTTAAAATTAGTAGTAGTCGTCGTCGTCGTCGTAGTAGTAGTAGTAGTAGTAGCCGTGGTGGTGGTGGTGGTGGTGGTGGTGGTGGTAGTGGTGGTAGTAAAAGTATTATTATTATTAGTAGCAGCTTCGTAGTCGAAGTAGTAGTAGTAGTAGTAGTAGTAGTAGTAGTAGTAGTAGTAGGTGT